TCACCCCTCCCCCACACTCCTTGCAGCAGCACTTGCTACGCTTCTCCCATGGCGTCTACCACCACGGGAAGTGTGGGGTGCAACTGCTGCTGCTGCACGGTGCCAGGCCTTCCCCTGGCCCGGTGATACCCAAAGCTGCATGCTCACTCCATGTGCCATGGGGAAGATGGCAGGAAGCAGCCAGGCTTGGGGACTGGTAATGGACAACTGCCCCCCACCCTCAGTTCTGGGCCGGATTGCACAATTGCACCAGCTGGGGCTGGCCCACGGGCCAGGAGTTTGAGACTCCTGCACTACGTTCTTTGACTTTATTAGCAACACCTGCTATAGGTACAAAACCCTTGCATGTGCAAGGGCAACAATTTTTATGTCTATTTTTTTCCTCTATAAAAAGGAAGTGGGGGCGGATTGCTGGTTTGGGGGAAGAAAGACTAAGATTCATTTACTTTTTTTAAAAAAAACTTTAGTGAAAATAAAAATCAGTACAACATATGCTCAGGTTTCTAGACACGTGTCTGCAGCTGATAACTTGGTAAGAACTGCCAGAGTCTTATGTACAGCAAATGCTAAGATAATACAGCAATGCGTCTTTTCAGCTGATTCAAATACACCACAGCCTTGGAATCTGAGTGCAACACACACTTCTGTTGAGGCAAAAAAACCCAAAAAGCTGTTGCTCTGCACAGAGACCCGGCAGCCACTTACATGGAGTGGCACGATGGGAATCTCTAGAGGCAGTCAGAGCAGTGTGTGCAAAAGGTAACTCTGATGCCACGAGGCAAGATCCAAGCATAAATCCAATGGGAATTTAGCTATAAAAATGCAGGTTTTACAAGCTGTGTCCCCAGAAGGGCACGTAATACTGGGGGAAGGCGGGAACCAAGCAGGATCGGTTTGGTCCATTTGCTTAAGAAACACTGAAGGCTTAAGAATGTGCCAGGCACAAAGATCTCCCCAAATCTCAGTTGCTTCTCATTCTGTGTGAGGATGAGAGACTAGAGGGGTTTTTTAAAGTAGGACAAAGCAATGCAAAAAACCTCCTGGACATCTTGAAAGCATCACACATTCAAAATCTTCCAAGCACCAAACTGTGATAAAGCACCAAGTCTTGTGAGCAGCTCTGTTCCATGTCACCGTCGCAGGATGATGCTGCAATGTCTTAAACGCATTGAGACTGCTGCACCCCCCAATTCATTTACAGAAAAGACATCCATGATCAATACCTTTCACGTGTGACCCAAAAAACAGTTGCCCTCTCCCCTCTTCTCCTTCTCTGATGGGGGGCAATTTGGGTGGAACACTGATAAAACTATTAAAAAGAATAGATATAATTGTCGCAGCCTAAAACAAACAATATGACTGAACTCAAGAAACTTAAATTAATATAAAAACCAAACACCATGTTGATCTGTTGAAAACTGTTCCAACAAGGCTCCAATGTCCATTTCCTCCGGTGCTCTCCAGAGTTGACCATTGTTCTTGCAAGGTTTGTGAGGTCCTCAATCCTAGGTAACCAACTCCCCCCGCAAATCCAGCTTTTTCTCCAGAGGACTTTGGCCTGCATGGAGCAGATCTCCTGCTCCTCCTTGGAGATGAGCAGTCTTGCTTCTGCCCGCCTTTGGAGAGAGGACAGCAGCAGAAAAACTAGATGCAACCAGCCACAGCACAGAGCTGTGTTTTAGAAGAGGAGGTTGCGCTGGACTCAGCCTTGTTAATACTATGACACTAAGTGTCCCCCAGCCTTCCAGCTTCTATGAATTCTGTCCGGGTAAGATTTCTAAGATCAGCCCCAGGGGCCGAATGTTGGTTGAACTCTACGAGTAGAGAGAAATCTTCTGCTCACATCACAACTGCCCCTCTGTTATTTCACTGTAAAGAGAAAAATCAATAGGTAGCATATTCAGGGACTTTTTCAAAGCAGTCTGAGCAAATTTCTTCCTTCGAGGTACGTGCTGGGTTGCTAAGTGGTGGTGAATAAGAGACTCAAGCCCCCATGGCATTTCACAAGCTCGCCTCTGAACAGGCACTACCACTCTGTGATCACTAAAGCACCACAGTAGGGGTGTGTCTAGACTACAGGGTTTGTCGACAAAAGTGGCCTTTTTTCAACAAAACTATACCTGCGTCTATGCTACCGCCGAATTCTGTCGACATAATGTTGACAGAACTTGGCAGTAAACCTCATTCTACGAGGAATAACGTCTTTTGTCGACAGAGTTCTGTCACCAGAAGGCGTTATTACATCTACACTGTCCTTTGCATCTAACACTCATGTCGACAAAGCGCCTTGCTTTGTCGACAGACCTGGATGTAGTCTAGACGCTCTTTGTCAACAAAGCCTCTGTCGACAGTATCTGTTGGTAAAAGCCTGTAGTCTAGATGTACCCTAGGATTCGTTCCTGTCCCTGAATAGTTTCAGGCATCAGGTTCTAGGGCCTAGCAATTCTTGACCTCTCCGAGGCAGACACTGTATTAAAGTTGCTGTCTATATAAGTCATAGGTTTCGTCTATGCTTGATTGTGGTTTTATGTTCCAAATCATGCTGGTGGTTCACTTTCAGCTGAGACACGGAAACTAGCCTGGATAATTACATTTCAATGCCCAGTAGCTCTGGGATTGGACCAGGGTACAAGAGCCCTGGTTCTAGACTGCTTTTCCATAGACCTGCTTTGGCCTGGTCACCTCTGTCCCCCAGCGTTGCCTTCTACTCCTAGTGCTCTCTGGTGCAGAGATGGCTCTCATGAGAGGTCTGTCTAGCATGCAGCACAATGAGGCTTCAGTCTCAGCCGGGGCCAGTAGGTATCAAAGGAACCAAGTGATTAAGTGAGATAGTCTGTTACATTTCCAACACTCTATGGGAACACAGCAATTAAAAAACAAATTAAACTCTTTTTAAAACTGTGACTAAGACAGCCAGACAGAGCCCTCCTCACATCTATGGAAATGCAGGCACTTTCAAAGCTTACCTCTGTTTCTGGCACATCTTCAAATTGTTCTGTCAGTTCAGAAGAGCGTTCTGTTACAGAAGGCCCTGCAAAGCCACTGGGGAAACAGAAAAGGGGCACCTATAAAGCTATTTCTTCTAAATAAGCCTTCAACACACTTTGCGTCCCTTTGGATTTCCTAACATGCCCATGATAATATCCAAGGAATGTATAAAGCATCTCTTAGACTCCTGTGAGATGTCCCTGACTCTATCTGCATCAGCTGGCAGAAAAAAAATAAACTGCACCCAAAAGTGACTGTGCCAGTCTGGAATCTAGCTTTCTCCTCCCTGCCCCACAAGAGTTCACTGATGTGTGACTTTCTGGCCAGAGTAGGCTGTTCCTTACCCACATTCTATGTGGATACTGCAGGGATTTTTACTCAAACAAGAACTGCCCTCATCACAGACCTGAACTATCTGAAGAGAGTTTCAGGCAAGCAGGTGGGGCCCACCGCTGGGTGTTGACTCATTTAGGGAAATGCAAAGTGGAGGCCAATTTACGTCACATGTTTCCGTTCCACAAACATTCCATCCTTAGTGTTTACACAGTTGGAGCAGTCATCTTCCCTCCCCAGGTTTTTAACTGCTCTGTTTATTGTGTAAATGTGTATCTTAAACACTAGATGAAAATGCTTATGTTCAGATAAACCAATGGCTCCTCTTTAGAAGACTCCTTAGCACAGTGGTTTTTCAACCATCTTTCATTTGTGGACCCTTACAACATTTCAAATGGAGGAACAGACCCCTATGGAAACCTTAGTCTGTGGATCACAGATTGAAAACCACTGCCCTAGCACACTGCTGGCACGTAAATAAATACTCCTATATGGAAACAGTTTTCAAGAGCCAATGAAATGATATAATGGGCTAGAGCAGTGTTTCTCAATATTTTCAAACTGGCACTCCCTTATTCAAAGGGAAAAATTTTGTGATCCCCTAACATTTACGATAAAATAAGCAGTGTACCAAGGGGATGCTCTAAACTGCATGTATATTTCAAGAGGCTGACAGAACTAGCCTCAAAAAGGGTCAGGGTGCATGACGAGTGAGAGTTTCTTTGCTTTCACTGTAATTTTTTTATGCATTGCAATCCCAACTATTGCCTTCTGTGACACTAGCCTGGAAAAGGAGATGCATTAGCTTCCAAACCAGCCACCCCTATTCCTCCCATCTTGCAATACAGAAAGGGCAAGGTTCACGTGACCGCCTGACACCTCTTTGCGACCCAGAAGTTGAGAATCCATAGAGCAGATAGAGGGAAAATTCAACGTGGTAAATAAGGATTTTGCAGGGTACCATGAGTTACATAGGCCAGGACATGCTATTCTTATTACAGTCACTGCCTTAAAGAAAGGGCTGTGATTGTATAAGGAAAGCCACATGCTTCTGAGGTTGACAGCACTTTGGCTGTGCAGCTAATGGACCCAGGACTTGTTTGTTTCAAATGGGCTACACCTTGTCCTCTGGTGCTATGTGCATTCATCGGCAAGGTACAAAACATAGTGCTGAGGATGTTTGATGCATATAAAGTGGTCACCCTGAAAAGCTAGAGCCTCTGCTCTATAATCTTCTGTTCATACACATGTATCAGACTGGAGACACTGGAGTCCTTGTATCTGGATACAGCGGGTACCACACATCTTCCCTGCCTAGATTAAGCCTCACCTATGTGAGTGGTTACTCAGAGTTGAACTAGCTACATCCTCTGCTGAGCTTTCTGAGCTGCAAACTTCCAATCCCACTGACCTACACAGAGATTAAAAGGAGAGACCCTCAGCTGGTGAATACAACATTCCAGACACTGATAACCCACATAAAAATGATATCCTAATTTTAAGGCCATTTTATTTAGTGCCACAGAATCCAGCAAAAGGATGAAGAGAGATCCCCCATCTAAAACCATGAGGAATGACAACCTATGGAACTCATTGCCACATGACACCAGTCAAACGCTATGGCCGAGTAATTTATACTTTAGTTAGCAGCACTGTTTGGGGATCTCAACGTGCTTTACAAACAGTAACTGAGTCAGTGGCAGAGCTGGGTCTAGATGCACAGGAGAGTCCTAATTTTCAGCCCCATGCTCGCTCTTTGGGACCGATCCCTCTTTCCATTTGAGGTGATACAGCATGTGAGCTGATTACCACACCTCGGAGACATTCTCCTTCCCACTTGCACAGCAGAATAGCTTGCTTTGAAACATCAGGTACTGGTTATAGCAAAAGGCAGGACACCAGACTTAATGGCTTGATCCAGTATGGCAAACTTACTTTGTCATCAGTGTTGGCCCAGGGGTACTCCACACACAGGAAGTCGTGCAGGGAGAGCCACACAGTGGCAGGCCCCAGGGCTGTGGCTTTACCCCTCACAAAGGCAGATAGGATTTGCTGTAAGCACACACTGTTACTTGGTATTGCTTACGTAGCTCTGAAGGGTGCATCGTCTTCAGTGCAGACTGCGCATGGGTAACAGCAGCATATAGCAACACTCCACAGTAGGGGAAGTAACTGTGCTGCAAAACAAGCTGAGGTGGTTCTTTTAACCTGTCATTGACAAATAGGGGGCCCATCCCCTTGTGTTTAGAACTCAAGTACAGAGAAAATTAGTGCCTTGTCTAAGTCTTCACCCTCACCTATTGGAGCAGAAGCTGAGAATTGTTCTAACTGAAGAGCTTCCAGACACATGAACTTGAACTCCCACTGACCTACACAGAGATTACAAAGGTGAAACTCCACAGAGTGGTAAATACAAAGCCACAGGCTTGCTGACTCTACAGAGAAGGAAATATTCTGGTTTAGATCCATGTAAACAATACTTATGAAATTGCCACAGTTCTAGTCTATTAATACAGCGCCCTGGGATTTGAATACAAAACCAAGACCCCCGTTTTAGCAACTCACTTGTATTTATGGGAGGCTAGAGAGGAGTAATTGCATCTCATGATTGCTCGCGGGAGTCAGGAAGGAATTGCTTTCTCCATGGGTAGCTTTGCTTCACTGGAAAAGCGTATTAATGGGTGGGTGCAAGAGGTAAGCAACAATAAATGTTCACAGGATTCCAGAATCAAGGGACCAGTGGATGCTGGGAATATTCATCTGAGATACCAGCTACATTTTTTGTTAGTCTCTAAGATGCTACAGGACTATTCATTTTTTTAAAGTTATACAAGGAGGACACCATATCGCGAAGGATCTAAGGGACCCAGGGAATATCATGTCATGCAAGGCTGACAACATGCCTTAAAGGCATTTATTGTTCCATCTATAGCAGCCTTAGACAATTTGTATCATGGCATGAACACCCCATTACAGGTATTATGTTACATACGAATTACCCGTATGCCAACTACTTACTGTAAAGGGGCACATGATACGTTGGACAACAGGGCCCACTAAAAGAGGCTTCTAAGTATTTCATCTACAGACAGCAGAAGTCAAAATTCTGTTTAGAACTGAAGAGGTTTCAGGCAAAGCATGATCCTCGCCCTCACCTATTTGAGCAGATGACAGGAGCTGTTCTAGCCAAATCCTTTGGTGAGGTTTCAGATTTGTGAACTTGCACTCCCACTAACCTAAGCAGAAATCAAAGGAAAGAGACCCTCAGTGGTGAGCAAAAAAAAAAAAAAAAAAAAGCCTCCGACATGCTGACTTCATTGAAAAGGAGAAGATCTGGTTTAAGATCCCTACAAAGAAGCATGTGGCAGATAGGCAAATTATACATTTATAATCCAATTCCAGCCCACTGGTTCTGTCCTGAACCAGCTAGATGTTGGGTTGGGCTGGTGACATTCTGCAGTCAATGGATGCTGCCCTCAGTCATAGCAGCTGTGTGCTTCCACGACTGAGACTGCCCCTTTACAGCCCTCCCAATTCTCAAACATTCTTACCCCCTTTTGCAACAATCAAGAGATTCAAGGGGCTCCTATTGTTGCTTCCTTAAAGCAGACTATGCACTTTTAAAACTCATTTTCTTCAGGCCAGATTGAGGGAAGGGGGGGGGAGGAATTCTGTCATCCCTGCTTGCTACTACACTCATGTTCTCCTGCATGTCATTTTTTTAGTGACATTTCTCCAAATCATCTACTGTAAAAGATTTCAAATGATCAAGTAAAAAGCCAAAGCTGCTACACAGGTCCAGCAAGCAGCTGGAAGGCCAAGATGACTCACAGCCTTACAAAGCAAGAGGATGCAACATTGTCTCATCTTCAAACACAACACTGCATGTTAATGGTGTTACAATGATCCTTTGCACATTTGTAACTGATGGTACTAAGCCTGTCTGGCATGCGATGATTGCCCAAAGACATGGGTACGTCTGACACGCATGCCAAAAGCAGAAACATCCATGAAAGCATCAGGCATCCGCCCTGTGACAAGCTCGGAGCCTGCATGGGAGAGTTCTGCTATCTGCAACGATGTGTTTCATGTAAAGTTACCTGTTTGCTGGAGAGTTAAGGCCTCCGCTGCCCAAGGAGGAAGTGGACAAGGTTGTTGCTATGGAATCACTGTTAGCTTCGTCTACTGGAGGAGTTCTGGGAAGGAGATCGGGCCGGCCAAGGTGGGAACCTGGGAGTGCGGAAGAGAAGAGCAGAGCAAATAGCTCAATTATCTACATAATTAATAGCATCCCTGGCATGGGCATCGATAACTAATCACTTGCCAAGATCTTCTGCTGCATCATGTTATACAAGACATCATGCAGGAAATGACACAACGGAATGGCCCAGTCTCCATTTTTAGTGAAGCCAGCTCTTTGTGGTACCTTCGCTATACTAAAAGTTTCACCAACATGCTATATTTGAACAATATCACTTAGGCTAGTCACATAGGAATTACTGTACTGGATTGGACCAGTGCTAGATACTTCAGAGGATGGGGTAATAGGTCTGCTGACACGGGATAAACCACTCCTGACCACATCAGTTCTCCTCCAGACCACTAAAAGTTAAAGATAATCTTAAACCTTGAAAGCATGAGGTTTAAAATCCCTTCCAGAATTTATAACAAGAATATCCAGTTGTAATTCATCTAGGTGTCCAATTCCTTTTTGCTTCCTGCTAAAATAGTTCTTAGTCTCAATCACTTCCTGTAGCAGCAAGTGAGCTAAGTATACATTGTATTGAAAAGTCTCTTTACTGTTCCACTATTAATGCAAAATCTACATTGGCAGGTCCCCAATGGGCTGAAAGACACATTGCATGAAAGTCTGGCAACTCTAGGCCATCTGAAGACAATTCAGAATGCCACACCCCTTGAGCTACACAATATATTAATGGCTGCATCTGAGTCCTGGGTAGCTGCAATTAGACCAGAGATCCCAGAACGATGATGCTCTAGCAAGCGTGCAGACTTGGACAGCATGTACTGAATTGCCCCCCAGTCTAATCAGCGGAGATCTTTGCTCAGAAACATCTGGGCTGAAGAGAGCTTTTTTCACAGGTGGTTGTTTTTTGTTTTTGTTTTTTTTAAAGAAGGAAAGCAATTCCTGCCATCTGGGTTTTCTAGTGTTGGCACCAACCTTGCTCCACGTCTGCTTCGGTTGTTACTTGTGCTTTAGTCTCACATGATGAATGCGACTGGGAAGGGACTCCGCCCTGACCCGTCCTCCGAGGAACGGTTGTGCCAGACCGGCTCTTTTTGGAAGGGGAAAGTTTTACTTAAAGACAAAGGCAAAGGAAGAAAAGTCTTACTTGATATCACCTTTTTCCAGAAAAAGAAACAGAACATCTTACATAGCAACATCCATAACCTTCGCCTGTCATTTAATGATAAAGTATTGCTCTCTGAAGAAAGCCGATGGCTGAAAGACCCTCTCTTAGAGGAGTTGTCAGTCATGGACTCTGGGGCAGGAACCCCGACACAGCACAAGTTTCCTACCAATCAAACACACTTCCATTCATACCCTCTCCTGCCTTCGGCAGCCTCCTCGGATCCCACCTGTGAAGAGATACTCACATGGTATTTTCTTGAAGGCAGTGTTGCACATGAATCGTTGAAACCGCTCTGCATAGAAGCTGGGCCTATGCACAGATACAGTGTCCTGAAAAGACCAAAGGGACAAAAGTTATATATTTAACTAGGGCTAAGCAGAATTCTAAGACAGCATGGATTTCTTTTAGAGCAGCTTAATGTTTGGAACACATATGGTCACACAATATTAAAGGCACCTTTATAAATGATGTATAAACAATTAATAAAGTGATTAATAGATACTGAAAGCATGAGTAGTATGTGTTAAAGGCAACAGTTGAAGATATTACAGTTGGTTATAAGCAAGCTATTATTAGCATGGACTAACAATTGATTGTACATTTATTATCAATCACTTGTTGCTCTTTATAAATGTATCTTTAATATAAGGTGTGCCCCCACCACTTCCAGCATCACCCCCTGCCACTATAGAAGCAGCAGAGAAAAGCTGCAGAGAAACATGTCACTGCGCAGCCATTCCCCCAGCTGGGATTGGGGGAGGGAGCGGCAGCACACAGAACTACTTCTTCCTCCATACCATGGGTGTTCCTGCATTAGGGACACCTGCAGGACCAGGGTTCAAATGTATTGCTGTCAGGTAATTTAAGAATCCAAGAATAACATTCTTGCTACTTACCCCATCGTGCACCAATGCTTTCCACGAGTGCTCCAACTTCTTAACAAATCTGAAGTGAGATTTGAAAACAGTGAACAGTAATTTTCACACTTAAGCTTTTGTAATCTCTGTTAGTAAATTACATTCATTGCTGACATCTGGCTCCTTAACACTGACAGATAGAAAAAGGTACATTTCTGTTATAAGCCAAATTTCCAGATCTACTTAAAAGAATCTAAACATTCAGTAGCAGTTTTATGTTTTAGGGGGAGAGATTTTAAGAGTCAGAGAGATAATGCCCATTGACTTTTAATGGGAGCTTTTTACATGAATCCTAGGGATATTACCCGTGTACCTGTGTGCTTGGTTAGCTGATTATCAGAGGCGTGTAACCGCCCTGTTATAAGCCAAATTTCCAGATCTACTTAAAAGAATCTAAACATTCAGTAGCAGTTTTATGTTTTAGGGGGAGAGATTTTAAGAGTCAGAGAGATAATGCCCATTGACTTTTAATGGGAGCTTTTTACATGAATCCTAGGGATATTACCCGTGTACCTGTGTGCTTGGTTAGCTGATTATCAGAGGCGTGTAACCGCCCAGA